CTGTTGTCTGTGGTATGAAGCAAAGCTGTCTTGGCCCCTATCCTAATTAACATATTAAAACGCAATGATGCCTTGTGCTTTTGATGCTGCGTTTGATTACGGTGTCCACATGGAGCATCGTATTGATGGTGGGTTATTGAACATCCGTCGTTTTGGAGCGAGAACCCTAATGTGTGTATGAGACAATTTGACGAATGGGCGCCAGTTGCATACAGAGCGGATGAGTTGCAGCGCATGACGACGGCCCTCGCTTCGACGGCGACCAAATTCGGACTCACCAACAACACAAACAAGACTGCCTTTTTCACCCTAGATTAGAAATGGAATGCGTATGCCTGCCGCAAATCCACAAAGGTGGTGATCCTTTATAAGTCACCTCTAGATTTTGTTTCATGGGGAGTGTATTTTCGACCTACCTTCAGATGATGAACGAGCTGCGCATCCGTGTATCGAAGACGGCTGCCGCATGTGAAAAGCTTAAGCATAAAGTGTGGAACAATCACCAGCTGACCATTACCACGAAGTTGATGGTGTACAAGTCGATGGTTCTGTCCATTCTTCTACAGGGTTGTGAAACTTGGAGGAGGCTTTACCGGAAGGCCGTCCGAAATTTGGAGTGATTTCCACAATAATGCCTGCGTCGTATTCTGCGCATCGGCTGCGATGAGCGAGTTCCTGACATAGAGGTGCTCCGCCGCAGCGACAAGTGCAGTGGACTGCATACTTCTGCTGATGCATCTGAGGTACCTCGGGAATGTTCGCCGCATGAATTCGACCTGGATATCGAAATAGCTACTTTATGGCCAACTGCGCGCAATGAAGCGAAACGTGGGAAAACCGAAGTTATGTTACCAGGACATGATCAAGGTGAGTTTATCACGAACTAATGTTGATTTCAGGTGTTGGGAAGCGATGGCAGTGGATCGGCGCCAATGGCGAGAGCTTATCAAGTGGGCGGTTGCTCAGGTGCATGAGGAGAATAAACGCCGTGTACAAAAGCGACAGGTGCAGACGGAGGATAGCCCATCGACGTCGAGCGCATGGTGCGATAGCATATGCCGGCCCCTTAGCCTTAAGGATCGCAAGCCCGCCTCGTAATGCGAGGGCGTGGGTTAGAGCCTGTGTTGGGAACAAGTAACCCCGCAGTAATTTTAGCCCATGCGCGACCGGTGATGGTTGAGCGGCAGCAAAGCGTCCGTACTGCGTCCCGACTTATTCTACTGTAGCAAATGCGGTCGCGAGTTCTTCAGCCAAGTCGGCTTAGCAAGCCACCAGCGTTGCCATACGAGTCCAACATCGAAGAGGCGATGAGTAAGTTGAGTAGGCAAACATCATCAATGCAGCGATTGGTAAGTACGGTGCTTCCGATTCATTTCCATTTACTAACCCAGGCCAATAATGCGGTTGATGTGGTGCGTGTGCTAAAGCATCGCTGCAGTTGGTTTGTACGTGTGCCTGCCTCCCTATTGATATTCTTGCATTTCCGGTGTTGTCTGTTGATGGATATCCCCGGTGCCGCTACTGCCGCTGTGCAGATTGAAGGAGTGTGCATCGGCTCCGTTGATGAAACATGGCTCGCATCCATATGCCTCCCGGTCTTATTCCTTCTGGTTTACACTGGTTATGGTGTGTGTGGATGAAGCTGTGGGTGGTGCAGTGCAAGCCACACGTGGTCCCTCTGAAGGTGCAGGCGTCCCGTGACTGTCCTTCGGAGGCTGCAATGACAGGTAAATCCGGAATTGGATGTCACCAAGCATGTGGCGAACGATTATCCTCGACGGTTTATCAAAAAACACAGTCAACTGTGAGGGCCGACGGACTTAGTGCACATGGCAGTCAAGGAAGTTTATACTGAGTTACCTTTCACATGCGATTTCAACACGCTGAAGACAAGTAAGCGGATCATCTCAGCTAAGCAGGAAAGTTACCACACCGCGTAAGTCGTTGTGATCAACCAAACCCGAAGTTTGCCCGCCCATCTAACTAAGGAACCTCAAGTTATCCGGACAACTCTCATAGTGGATACCAATTCAGGTATAAATGCGGAGCCAGTTACATAGGTAGAACTGATAGGACCCAGACTTCCCGAATGAAGGAACACGTGGTAAAATGGGTTCAGTGTGAAGTTGCCCAGAACTATCCCCTCAACATCCGTGCTTGTATAGGCCACCGGTTTCCTCGGTAGTCAAACCTCTACTGGTATCAAGTCATCGGACAGTGATCAGCGCAGCGTTCAAAGTAGTGATGCGTCACGTTAACCCCCTTTCCTTCGATTTGTCGAGGCCGTTGCAATAAGCTGGATGAAGCCAGTCTTGTGCTCTAAAAACAATTATTCGTCAGCTTGAGGCTGCCCTGGACGTGGAGGTTGGACTTCCGTCATTCACTATGCGCCTCAGGCTTGTCTGGTCGCACTCAATGTTAGCCATAAATATGCATATCAATTATTGGTAATGGTACTGATGAGTCAAAATGGAATGCATGCGTCTACCAGCTTTCGTCCAGTATGCCGGTCTGTCACAAAACTCAAGAGCAAAAAAGCTACTCAAATTAAATACAAATTGTCCCGAGCGGTGCTCATGAGACACGATATTCTAGTGGTACGGTGTTAGCTGGTAATCGGGTAATGAATACAACTCCTGAGTCCGGTTATCTGAGGAGTGCAAGCGAGGAGGAGACGATTTGATTACTCGGTAAGGTCTGGATACAGAGGGAAACAACAATATTACTCAATTCAATATGGTCATTATATTAATATAAAGCAGAGGTACTCTTGACATTCAATAGCAGATTGATGGAATAAGAGATGCAATTGCTCCGAAAAAAATAAAACTATCGAGAGATAAGTGTCGGATAGCTATACATATTAACTTTTGCTCCTGTGCACATAGAATTTGTCACGTCACGAGCATACCAGCCCTTTGTAGTGTTGATTGCTGTTTCAACCTTAAATCGTAGGTTATATGGAGCTTCCGGATCTCGTCAGAACCGGGTTAAAGAACGCAACCTAAAACTCCCTCATAAATAATCAAATCTTCAATCCAAGATAGATTCTGACGGATGAGTTGGACTACATATGTGATGTGGCGTAGGCCACTAGTTGACATCCCGACCATTCCCCAAGTGGTATCACTGCGTAATGCATCATATGTGATGTTAGACGTAGGTTAGATAGAAATAAGCAAGGGAGCTAGATATATTTGGTGTTGAAGTCAACAGGATGTCATTTGCTACAGTGTAAAACATATAGAGGAGCTTCCACGAAAATGTTTGGTGTGTCCACTAACAACGCTTCATTTGCCAGATCCTCAACTATAGCTGCAAACCGTACATGGTGTTGGGGTCTGCGTGTCAGTGGAGACATTCACACTTTATTTATTTTTATTGGTAAACATCTTGTAGGTGTTTCTTGCCTACTTTAGTACTATCACTATTTTATTTCTTCCCTGAGTCTACTATGAACTGAAATCCCTGAACATGTTTCGATCGATTGATGAAGTTGGATTGCGCGTCAGCGGAAGATTGAAAGAGTGACTCGGCCACTAAAGTCCCATTTCTGCCTTCTGGTCAGACTGCGCTTGTTCAGATTGAGGGGATATCAGTTAACGGAGAATCTAACCCCAACAAGGTCTGTTGTACTTCTCACTGAACAACGTGCATGTGCGAAACTGTAAGGAACATAAAATCATGCATATTTCCATCCCATAGGTTGAAGGAATTTATGAATAAAATCAGCATACCTCTTCATCTTTCAATATGTAGGAATAGTCTCTCGCACCGTCGATAAATAAGAGTTATTCATTTATTCATTTAAAACAGTAAGCACAACCGACGAAAGTTGATATATGAGATCACAGATTTTAGTGGTTTGTGCGGTTCACACACTACGAAAGTTAGATGACCTCTTCGTTATTAAGACAGTGTTTCCACAAACAAAATCCTCATCGATATCAACAGCAACAGTGCATCAGTAATACAAACTGAAGATGCGCTATCAAACGACCATGAAGACAGATGAAGTGAGGAATAATAAAATGGACAATGGGAACGGAGTGTAACGTCATAATGCTCTAAGCAAACATCCAGGACCAAAACACCGATATCTTGTGGGTGACACATGGCCACAAACGGCCATGAATGGCAAGAAAATAGGGCGACATCGGCGAGACAGCTTCCTTGTGGCTTTCACTGCCCAGCGTCATAATGGGTAATTACCTCGCAGATAAACCTGCAAGCGACAATAGTCAAAGACTTGAATGTGACGCACAAACTCAAACACAGGGGTCCAAGTCTCACCCAGAGGAGAACGGTCTTCACTGTAGCATTCCATGTGTGGCCTCTCAGACGGAGAATAATGTAACCCTAGCATCACAGATGTAGCAGGTTCAATAAGGCTTTCCTGGATTCACAATACTGAGCTAATGTCAGCATCCACACGCCAATCGATACTAGTACGGCTATCATCAAGATAGACGCCAGGCCGTAGCCTTAAGAATCACAAGCCTGCCTTGTAATCCGAAGGAGCGGGTTCGAACCTGCATACGGACCGGGCGACTTTCGCAGTATTCTTAGCCCACGTGCGACCGCTGGTGGTTGCGCGGCAGCAAAGCATCGGTACTATGTACCGGCGTACTGCTGAGCCTTTCTGTCTTCTTCTTTATCAAGGTAGGTAAATTGATCAATTTCAGCTGCTCGTCGCCAATGCTCAAGGGGTAATCGATTAGTTGGTGGTCCTGCAACGGTGCTTTGCATTATGGATGTGGGGGGCGCATTCCAAACGATGGGACTTGTCCAGTAGTTATCCACAGTTAACAGAACTGCTCGTGATAGCCAGACAGCAAGACGATACCGCCCACATAGACCAGGACAACCAGTTTCCCCCAGGTAGTCTTTAATGTCAATATGGTGAGACTGCAGTTGGGCATTCAGCAATGCAGTTCGGAGTAAAGTTGAACAAAATTGACAAAGAGAACACTTATGGCGAACACCGTTTGTTGTCGGAAAAACCAACAATAATTCGCCGTAGGCCTGATGCGCCTTATAGTGCAGACGAAGTAAAACGGTCACATGTACAAGCTACGCTAATTCACAAGTGGGATTCAGCATGGTTTAAGAAAAGTCAAACTAAGAGTTTCTTCTAAACGTAGTGTTTCTGACAAAGTAAATGGGGAACTGCAAGCGAAATAGGATATGCCAGCGGCATATACTAATAGCGCTAGAGAGTGGTACTCGCTTGATCATCCTTGCTTCATCAAACCGAAGAAGCAAACTGTCCCAACCTCACGTGGGCAGTGACAAAGTCATCGAAATACGTTGCGCCACAAACATCTGTGGTACTATCTCAGATTAAATGCGCCAATGGCTACAGGACGCATTTCGAAAACACTCTTGAAGTCATCAGAGTAAGTTCGAAAGGCTCAACCGGTGGTAACGATACAGTGAAAATGCGAGGAAATACACTGGCATGTGACTAGTTCATAAAGTTAGCGTTTGTTGGAAATTGAAAATAGTTATGACCTCACAGAAGCACAGAAAAGACCAATTCCGCTAGGCCAGAAAGACTGAAAATAGTGACGTCAACAATCAAAAATCACCTATCTGTTGAGGGCGGATACTGACAGGGACGTGCAACGGAAATTTTCATTTTAGTTTTAAAACATACTCAGTACGAGTGGA